TTTATCCCCGATGCTGCACTTGACCGACGAGTACTCATACCGGAATTTTCCGAAACATTCATTAAAATTTCCTTTTCTTCATCGACTGTGATAGATTTTGGAGTATCATGGTTACCTTTTGGTCGTAAAGATCGAGATTCGCCTAAGCGGTTGTAAAGATTTCTGAATAGTTTATTTGGGTACAATTGTACATGTCGAGTCCCCGCATAACCATTAAAATTATCCTGAGCAAAAACACAAATCACGCATCTCACTGTTGGAAAAATTATTATATCGTGGCATTTTTTGATTACTAGCTAATAATTTTACACGAATAATAAATCACACGCACGCAAAATACGCTAATATTTATTGACCTGAAAATTTGACACAAGGCGTACTTAGAAAAGAAATAGCAATATTAGCGTCTGAGAGAAAATTACCACAAAATACATTGAAACTTTTAAATGCAAATAACTCAGAAACCTAATCAAGAGTCAATTTTTTATGTAGAATTGAACGTTCTTTCAGATTTTTAACTTTTTTTAATCATAGCTCAACAGATAAAAAAATATGTTTTGATTTACCTAAATAAGACGGGTGAAACTAGCGCCCTCTAGGAGCAACGTCAAAATAAGCTTCAAATTCGTAATTCTCACTCCAAGAAACCCATCACTACCAATTTTCAGTCATGCTATCAAAACTTTCTCAATTATTAAGAATTTTCAGAATAAAATTTAAACCTTGAACACCCTGTATTTCTTAAACCAGCGACATTCGTATAAGGCGTGATGAGCTCAAACATAATATTTTGGTGTCTAGTGTCTCCAGCTTAGTGTTGACCCATTCTTTCTGACTCACCCTGTATATTCCATAGATAAGAACTTTCTTACATATTTACATATCGTCATTATAACAAAAGTTGTAGAAAATGGTCAAATAACATTCCTGTGAATTTCGGAATCTCGAAATATTTTTTTTTTGTATCTTGGCCTCCTCGTTTATTTCCAACACACAAGCCGTTTCTTCGGCAGAATAATTTGTAACTAAAACCTAGTCACCTTTAAATAACTGTGACGTCACATTGGTCGCCTTTTTTTATAAAAAAACATTGTTTTAATGCAACAAATAATTTCGATTTGAATGTGCGTAATTAGAAACCGAATTTATTCTTTCAGTTTGGCAAAGAGTACCGAATTTTTTGTTGTTTGTTGTTTTTTTTTTAAATAAATTTCGAAATCGGGTCTGATCTATGGCTTTTGATAAAGATCTGTCTATTTGACAGACGCACACAACGATATGTTTTTGCAGCTCCAGGAATGTAGTCGTAATATATTGTAATCATTGAGACGAATCAAACATATGCCCAGCCCAAATGCGTGAAAGCTGGGGACCAACTTAAGTTAGAAACTAAATGTAACTAAACAAATTCGTGTCGGGTTCAAAGTACTAGAAATTTTCCCCATTTTTCTGCATGAGATTTAGCAACAATTACATAATGAAACGATTGAAATGAACAATAGTCCGAATGTAATATAATAATGGCGAAACACGCCACTATTCAATTATAGCGTTTTGTCAAGGTCACCGGCTCTGTCACTTGTGTGTGAAAGAATTAATTTGCGAAATCCTTGTTCTAGTATCGGACGTAAACGATACACGGCGTACTGGATCGAGATTCGCCATGTTCGCAATGGAGAATACCTATGCCCCGAGTTCTAATACCACGACCAGGTTACAGGGTGAGGCCTTGTATGAGCAGGAGAGCTAGAAATTTAAAGAATTTTAAGGGTACTAACGGTTTTTGAATTTGATCACCATTTGGGTAAACATTTGTTAGAAATGACACAAGGTGTAGATTAAAAATACAGTTATATTCAATATTAATGATGAACAATAGCAAGGAAAAATTAGTCTATTCGAACTGAATGGTCAAAAGCGAATTCCGTCTAATTGCCTAATCTCTGCTCTTCCGAACTATCTCTCTTTGCCTCCCGCCTGACTGTGCCTCGCAAATCGCCATGCCGATATCCAGCATCCGTCAGCAGTTTTTTACACATTGTTAAAAATTGCCACATAATGATTATGTTATACGACATATGTAGTTGGTTTTGAAAGGTCAGTAAAAAAATATAAATATTCAAGTCTGTAGTGACATTTCTTGGCGTTCTGTAAGAAACAACTCTAACCATTTGGAATTGTCAATGAGGAAAAATTTTGAAGTATCCGATAGATGGTATTGAATAATGGTGAAAGATGTCCAATCCAAAAAAATACCAAATCTAAATCTTTCGCTAGAAAGGTTAAGGTTTTCTTCTTAGGGAATATGAATAGACCTATTTTGGGACGTCATCAAAATGAGAGTGAAACGTTGAATACTTTTGAAGGAGGTGTTGAAGTCAGTAAGACGATACTGTAGAGATTTTTTTACTGAAAACGTATACTCTTTTACTACAGCTATGACCCTTGTTTAAGAATTAATTTTTTTTAACTAAGCTCTAAAGGTATGGACTTGTGCATCGTTGATACTTGTATATCATATTTTAGTTGTAGTGTGTATTCCATCAAGGTTTCTTCAACAGTTGTATTTTATTGTGCCATGTTATACAAACTATTAGTGAATTTCATTGCAACTATAGTTTTCTTGTCCCGCAAAGGTATTACAAATAGCAGTAATTAGTGTTCCTTTCTTAATTGCAATCATTAACATTCGTTTTCCTTTTCTCCGTCTACTCATTGTGGGGTTTTATGGCCTTCCTTAGTTATTCCTTAGTCATGTTCATGTCTGAAGACGTCATCTTGCTCGACAGTCGAACTCATGAATTTTTAAGCTGGCACCAAATGACGTGGTCACTTCCCTAATGCTTGTCAAATGTAAATAAATCATATGGAGGCATACATTTAAAAGCATGTTTTCACTTGCCAAATAATCGCCAAAGCAAATCATGCGCGCTGCAATGACTACATCAATAGGGTTAATGTTCACGTAATTTCCTACAAGCGGTTAACGTGCGGACAAATGGCAATGTATACACGTCGTGCATAGAACCTTTAGCAATTGTGGTATCCTATGTTCTCGATTAGACCTTTTCTCAGTAACTCTCACTAATTTAGCTTTGATCTTGAGGAATTGGAATATTGCTTAATCCTTGAACAACGTATCTAACTCTGCTGATTGGAATCTCTTGCTGGTTGAATTCTTCCCATTGAGGTTGTTCCTAGCTCAATTTTGGAGCTGAGAATCTGCACTTGAAGTTTTTGTGGTCGGTAACTTGTAGTACTTTGTCTCGATGACACTTTATACGGAGGCTTTCAACGAAGCATTTTCTCGCTGTTTTTTTTGGAGCTTTTTTTGCTCTGACCGGTCGTGCTCTTTTACTGTTTTTGAGTTTCGTTAAAGAGCACTTTGTTTTACTCTAAAAAGCACCTTTGTATCGACCGCATGTCTGCAGTTCAACCTAAGTGATTTGGATGCCTAGATTGATGATATAGGTTTAAGCATGAGCATATAGTTTCACAATTTTGTTATTATACACAGTTGATTTTTAATTGATTAACAATGTGTGTCTTTAAGATATGAAGTTAAATGTATACAATACAGCGCTAGGGAATGCTTGAGATCATACTTCATATTCGCTAGAAACGTAAGTGAAAATTTTGATTTTCAACCGACGTCGTCTGGGTGCTGTTGCATCAGATTGATGTTCTTGGGCATCTGCTACGCTGTTGTAATAATGGAGCTGTTTGTTGCTCTACTGGTGATATTAGTTGTTAGTTTCGAAACATGGTCGATTTGATAGAATGTAGCATATTAAACATAACCTCACACTTTGGATTTATATTATTCCATTGATCATTAAAATTATTTTATATGTGACAAAATAAACAATATAGAATTGAGTTAGTGCTTTTTGTGGGTAACAGAAGAAATAGACTCAATAGCTACGAACTTTAAGACAAGCAAGTAGCATCGTTAGAAATGTACGCCCTTAAAATAAATAAGCTGGTGACGAACGCGAGCATAATTTTTAAAATGGGAAATAAATTTATGTATTTATTACTCACGTTTGTTTTTTTTATTATAGTTTATTATAGTTATTTTCTCAAAAATAATAAATTTAAATAAGAACAATTTTGCAAAAAAGCCAAGGAATTTCATATGCTTTTATTAAGTACAAACTAGTTCTTCCAGAGGGCTGAGCGCTTGGCTTGATATCGGGATATACAGGGTGTCCGCAAATTTCACCGACAACGTTGGACTGCATATTCACGACGATAAATAAATACGATCTACAAAAAAAAAAGTTAAATAAAAACCTTTTGGTTTTTGAGTTACAGGCCTTCAAAGTTGTCAAAAATACAACTAATTTAATTAATAACTTCATAACCCTTTTACCGATTGTCATTATTGTCGTGTTTCTTTAGGATTTTCATCACTCTACACATGCAAATTGTATGCATAAGTATTAAATTAGTTTTATTTTTGACGACTTTGAAGGCTTGTAACTCAAAAACCCGAAATTTTTTATTTAACTTTTTTTTCGTAGATCGTATTTATTTGTCGTCGTGAATGTGCAGTCAAACGTTGTCGGTGAAATTTGTGGACACCCCGTATAATTTGCAAATATTCGACACATTTGCGTCGACGAATATTTGGCGAGTGACCGCATGATCCGGAGCCGGCTTTAGGCCGAGTAGGCATCGTCGACGACACACCCTGTACGCACGAGCTGAAAAGTTGCCGAGAGCCGTACACACACACCAAATAACCATATCATTTGCGGTCTTCGCATAGTGAACGGCGGTGCCGCGAGTTTACTTTACGCTAATCGGTTTAGCGGTAGCCTGTTTCACGCAGCCCCGACGGCCACCCCGACCCGCGCCCGGAACCGCCAGCCTTTCGGCTGCGTGAACGGGGCGCGTCCACCTAGTAGGAAAACTGCATGCCTGCGTGCCCGTTTTTTTGTCTCGAGTGCACATCTTCGGTTTTTCCTCCCGTGTTATCGTGTGAACCGGTTCGCAGAACTCTTGATTTCGCCGAGCGTAGCGCCGTCTCGCTCCTACCCACTGTCAAGGAAGACGTTAGGCGTACGGTTCTAGAGGAATGGTGTCGTTGCACCTCGTGCACCGCGAATATTAGTGTGCGTACAGTCCGAGGCACAAGCGCCTCTCACCCGGACCGATCGCCGTCGTCTTTGGCCGGGTCAGTATTTTGTTATTGTGTTCGGCGGTGACGTTGCGCTCGCTGTTTGTGCTAAAAATAGCGCCGGCCAATTTATTAGATTGGTTAAGTGTCGTTCCGCGGATTTCGCCTCTTTAATTGGCCCGTTCTCGGCTTACATAATTTGAATAATACCAAAAAAATATCGCGCAGTATTTCCACATAGATCGACGAGCGTGCCCCGCGTTCGAATCGATACCTGCGGACAACCCACTAAATCCGACTCTAGTAATCACCAAAATTGCTCGGAATACATTAGTGATTTCGGTGACGTTATCGTTGGAATATCTACACGTGTGCGTACACCACACAAATGAGACCTCGGCGAGGTTCAGCTGGAATTACTACTTCTTCACGATAATGCTATATTTTCTAGACGTGGAGTCCTACCTGGTTCGTCTCCCGGGGCCTTTATTTCATGTTTAATTTATTGTTTACCTGCAGACAGTGCCTCCGGCGTATTATTTTCGACTAGTTTGAAGTCGTCCGTTCGTGGTGGTGTGATGATGATATTGAGTGAACACAAAGATGTGCATAAGTATGCGACGTTGGGTTTTGGTTTCCTGCACGGTCTTAACGTTTATCAGGTTAGTGAAAAAATTGTGTTTTGCCTTGTACAAACAGCTGTCATCGCGGATTCCTTGAAATTTAAACCTGCCTTTCGTTTCTGGGGTCTGTAAACACGGTTTGACCTTGATTTAGACTAAACGAACTTTGAATACATTTAAAACTTTGAGTTATGTTATCACTATGCAATGAATACAAACGGTAATGGATTTTAGAAGCTTTCAGGTAGATTGTGGGTTTACATTTTGAAAAATATCGCAAAAATACCCACGTGTACACTATGCAATATTTTTGAACAAACTATAACACCGTAATTCCTTATTTTTTTCTTCAAGGTCTACATTTTGTGACAATGGAATGTAGCCTCAGGTAAAATTGATTTCTATTAGTTCTACACCTTCATAAAAGAATTCGACTTGCCTGATTTTAAATTTGCAATAATGTATAATAATTACGTATTAGGTATTGAAATTGCTGCCAAAATTGCGTTGTATATTATTTCTGCCTCCTCGGTTGTAAATAATTGTGTTATTTATTAAACTAGATTGCTTTCCTTAATTTACTACTACTACTAATTTTCGTTGAGACTTAATTTGAAATAGTAACCGACCTGCTAAGGCCGTTTTAAATATTAGGGGTATAATAAAATAGAAACCGCTTTTCAAACAGGTTCTAGGCTATTCTGGTAACGCTTAGTGATCGTTATCCGTTAATGATGATTCAAAACTAGGTATCTAGTAAGTTTGTCGGGGTAAAAGTTGGATTGAATTCTTATAGCCAAAAGTTAAGAATTATTTATTTAGTTTTCGAGTTATGTTATCGAATTTTTTAAATCAGCGTCTCGTCATTGTTTGACATGTGACACAAATTTTATTTCAGGAAATTTATTTTTCGTATCGATGAACATTAAAACTGACTAACATTCCTGTTATTTTCTCTAGTAGATCGACGAAGTACGCTAATCGAATAAAATACAGCGTTGCGTAAGAGTGTATAAAATTAAAATAATATAAATAATAAAGGCGATTTCTAAGAATAAAAAAAAAATGTGTTGACTCGAGCGTTTGCTACTTGAGCGGTCACACCGAGAAATCAATAGCAGCGCAGCTATTTGTTTCTCCAGCGTAATATTTCGTTCGAACAGATAAATACACGCAGTCCGATCGTTCCCCCATTTTGTAATCGTTGGAAAACAAAATGTAGGTAAACATAATACTAGCCCGCTCACATTTTAACAGCGTGTTTACATTATGCAGATGTATACAGAGCTCTAAATAAATGAGATATTCCTCCAGCGGAACGTTTTCACGTCCGACTGTACCGAAGATTATTTTTAATAAAGTCATCCTGTGTGAAACCGACTCCGTATGTATGACATTTGTTCCGTTATCACAATAGATTAGAGCGAGACGCTAAATTGGGTGCATTGCGGCAGCGTTGCCAGCTGTGGAGATCCAGAAACGGATAAATCTGTGATGATTTTGGTCGAACTGTCGACAGTCCTTTGGTGTTTGGACTAAACGTCAGTGACCTTCGATGAACTGACCTTTTAATGGACCTTGTTGATAACTGCAGAATGATCGAATCGAATTTGTTTGTGTTCAGATCCAACGATTTTTCATGCAGAGAAAAGTCTAAAGCTAATGTATTTCTTAAGGACTTATAAATAATAAAAAGTAGGAACAATGTCGCTATTGCCCTGGAAGTCAAAGAATCGAGAGATTATATTTATTATAAATCCGTACCAAACGCTAGTGGATTATAACCACCACCGTCAGATTGAATTCAAAATGAACAGTAAAGTGCTTTTACCCGTAATACGTCATACCTCATCTAAACTGGCAACGCCGTTTCAAGCACACTCATAAATGCATCTGTGCCTAAGGGGCCATATCCTGACGAGTCCCTCGAGGATCGAACCGTGCGGTTTTTGATGACTTCACCGAAGGTTTTGTGCACCTTCAAGTTGCCGATATGTCCGAGGATTGCCGATCAGGACCGGCTTACGTGGAAGTTATGCCGCAATTGAAACCGAGGAAGCGCTCAACAAATACAGCTGGCCAACCTTTCTCTGTGGCCATTTCTTCATGATACATTCCAAATTAATGAGAACATTAAGTAACCCTAGGTTTTTAATTCTGAATACAATTTCTTAAAAAAATCCTCAAGTCGTTAAAATTGGCAACATTACATTAGTGGTTTTTATAATCCATAAGTTGTCATTACTAAAAGTAGCTAAACTAAGCAAAACTTAAGAAATACATAATATATTATACATTATCTCATTCTCCCCCCCCCCTCTCTCACACATTCTCTCTCCCCCTCCGTCTTCTCCCCTCTCTCATTTTCTGCCTCTCTAAAACCACCAGAAAAACAAGTAATCCATTTACTTACATTTGTTCAAATTTTAGAAATATTAGCGGCTTTTAAATAGTTATAAATCTTAATAAGTAGTTACCGTTTACACAATCGGAACTATCTTTTATATTTTTAAATCGTATAATTATGGGTTTGTGCAGAAAGCTAATAAGGTGGCATTCCCAAGGTTAAATGAGACAGATCATCTTGCCGTGAGAGACTATGCTACTATTATTTGTAAACGGATGTTGGTGTCACTGAATCAGTGGTTTCTTTTGTTTAGTGTCTCTCCAAAAGGAGATTAATTCGAATCTAAAGTATTATTGAATCCTCAAAGGTCACACTAGTATGAATTCGCACCACCATTTTTTTAACAGCTGGCATTTCTCAGGCAGCAGCTGCCGAAGTTTCCCCACCACAATAATTCCTTCTATAGTCGAACCATACCACAGTCTGGCTGGACTCGGTGCGATCGGTGCGAATTCACACTAGTGTGACTTCAGTGTGGGCAAAAGTGTGGCTGGATTTATATCAAGTAATCGAGAAATAAAGTGAATTGAAATGCAAATTTTTTTCACTTCATTTTACGTGTGGAATAGACTAGAACATTGTTTATTTAGTTATTGCTGTTATGCGTCAATATAAGAAGTCTTAACTTGCCTAAATTTTAAAAACTCGGAAAACCATTAGGGACTATTTTCCTCATGTAATTCATTATTTAAGTACACCACGCTTCCAATGTCGCATNATTTTGTTTCTCGCATAATTTTAAATTCAAATTTCTTTAATAGGTATTCGCGGAATATGTTTAGTATTCTTTATGGAAGTTCTAAGAAATGAATAAAAAATGTAAACAAACAATACTTGCCCTAAGTTGTTCCTAGTGTTTGCGGTTACATATGCGGTTAGTGGAATTTCTAATGGCCCAACTTTAGTGAACATTTAAATATATTGTATAGTCTTTCCGAAGTCAGTTGAACATGCAAAAAACGTATGGTAATAAATTGTTTATTTAGTTATTGCTGTTATGCGTCAATATAAGAAGTCTTAACTTGCCTAAATTTTAAAAACTCGGAAAACCATTAGGGACTATTTTCCTCATGTAATTCATTATTTAAGTACACCACGCTTCCAATGTCGCATAGGAAAACGTTTATAGAAATATCCAACCAGCAACGTATCGATATTCTAATTAGTATAGTTCTACTACCAGTCCTGAAAACGTGAGGCAGTGAAACACATTTCATTAGTATTTCGTCAGTGTGGTATTGTAAAACATTCCGATACAAAAAAACTGCAACTTAGCTTATATAACTGTACTAAGTACAGTAGAACAAATAACAAACATTCGATCGGGGGGATATCACAACTTTTACTTCATTACAATAGATGATTTCACACTCTGGTTGGCGTTCTAATCATTTAAGAATCATGAAATATTAATTATGGGGCCACGCACCACCGAGTGGGATGGTTGAAATTAATGAAATGGCACACGAAAGATTCAGTTTCTACTTCTCTGGAGTATAATCTATTTGTTGATTAAATCAATGCCTTAGAATGGTGAAAAATATCTGTTGTAATAATTTTAAACAGTTTTAATTTTGTTTTCTAAATTATTTGGATCTTGTAATTATTATTATCAATTACAACTCGCAATTTTGAGATGTATCACGTGATTCCCGTGATTGTAACTTATAACTCCAGCTTTACGACTTGGATTTGTATCTTGTAATTACGACTTGTATGTCGTAATCACGAGATATAAGTAGAAATTTAATCGAGTTACCCGGCATATTTACGAGTTGAACTCGATACTTGTAACTACCTACAAGATGCAAGTTGTAATTGTGATGAGATACAACTCCAAAATACGAAATTCAATTTGTAACTTCGAGGTACAAAAGTCGTAATTACGAGATGCAGGTCGTAATTACGAAAAACAACTCGCAATAATGAGATACAACTTGAAATTACGAAATACAAGCCATAATTACGAGTCACAGGCCGTAACTACGAGATCCAAGTATTCATTACGACACAAAACTCGTAATTATGACCACAACTCGAAATTATGAAATACAAGTCGAAATTACGAGATATAAGTCATAATTACGAGATGTACGTTATGATTACGAGAAACAAGTCATAACTGTGGGATACAAGTCATAATTACGAGATATAAGTCATAATTACGAGATACAAGTCGTAAATATGGGATACAAGTCATAATTACGAGATATCAGTCATAATTACGAGATACAAGTCGTAAATATGGGATACAAGTCGTAAGTACGAGACACAAGTCATAATTACGAGATACAAGTCATAATTACGAGATATAAGTCATAATTACGAGATATACGTCATGATTACGAGATACAAGTCGTAACTATGGGATACAAGTCATAATTACGAGATATAAGTTATAATTACGAGATATACGTCATGATTACGAGATACAAGTCGTAACTATGGGATACAAGTCATAATTACGAGATATAAGTTATAATTACGAGATACAAGTCGTAAAATTTGGGATACAAGTCGTAAGTACGAGACAAGTCATAATTACGAAATGTCCTAATTCCGAGATATAAGTCATAATTACGAGATATAAGTCATAATTACAAGATACAAGTCGTAACTATGGGATATAATT